TATTACTAGAGGTGCTAATGACATGAAATTTTCACCAGATGTCGGTAACAACCCAAGTGATCCATACATGCAAAGAAATCCTTATTCCTTATCCTAATACTTATTTTACCCGCTGTACATATATACATACACTTTTCATTTTAAGACTATTTCTTGTTTTTAACATTGAGAGAAAAATGCCCCGTTTCAGGTGAATCAGTGCTATTCTACAGCAACAAAAGCAGCTTTATTCTCACCCCTTCTCACTATACTTCATGGCAGTGTGGATCGGGTAGCCAATACTGCCAATCACATCACACTTCGCCCCGCCCTCCAACAGGGCTTTGACAGACTCCACACGTCCTAAACGGCAGGCCACGTGGAGCGGGGTTTCCCCGTTGTTGTTCACCTCATTCACCCCGGAACACAGCCGTGAGCACAAGGTCTGGGTGAGAAGAGGATGGTGAGAAAGCACAAGGAAGAGAGGAGAAACACAGGATTATGTTAAAGGATTATCTATTGTTTTTTGTAGTAAGATCCATCCTTCAAAAGAAGATGTAACCTCTCTTCTRAGCCCATGTGCTTAATAACAGAAGAATTCTGTGTGACGTTTAAAGGGCCTGTGACATACTTATCCTTCAAATACAAAAAGTCAAAGAAAATATATTTATATTTAAGAAAATTAGCACAATACATATGATTTTACACATTTTGTCTCATAACTAGCATATTTTCTCTTGAATTTGGCTCTGCAAAGTGAAACAGGAAGTGACATCAAACGGAAACTCTTTAAGAAAAGCAACTCTCTAGTCTTTGTTTATTGAAACAATCTTATTTAAACTTTTCTTCAAATCTGATAGTGACTCAAAATAACCTAAAAAACATGAGATTATTCTCTAATTGTTGTAACATTGCTCTGTTTACATGCAGACATTCCCCTTTGACATCACTTCCTGTTTCTTCAYATGCAAATWTCTYMACAACTGTTCATCTCAACGGCRTGAAATTTGTTTTGTAATAWGTTATCAATGTTCTCTTTCCAAAAACGMATTCACATTTATTACAAAAATTTGATGTCACGGGCACTTTAATAGAAACTCCTTCCAGAACTTTCTTATTTGCATGAAACCCTGGTGGGTAATTTGAGCCGCATACCTCATTAAATGTGTAAATGTGTTATTTTGTGTGTTTTTTAACCTCACAGAGCCCTCATGATATTTGCCACTTTCCTGAAGTGGGGAGTGACCTTTGGCTGGCAACCACTAACGGAACAGAGTGTGATCTTCAAAATTTCCATTTTAGATCAATTCATCACACAACATTAAACTAGGAGAACTGGTGGRAAAAAAAACAAATASGACCTTTCAACATGTAACTGTGACACCACATGGACAAYCACCTGGATGATGACAGGAGAATCCTGCTTGGAGGCGTAGTGCATGGGTGTTTCTCCGTTACGGTCTTTGATGTCGGTGCGGGCCTGACTCTCCTCCAACAGTTCCTTCACGCACAACAAGTCRCCTCGCTCACACGCCAGGTGCAGAGGTGTCTGACCTGCGGCGTCTCGAGCATTAATCTGACTGAACACAGAARAATCTTTTTATTTTCAAATAGGCATATGAAAAGAACTATGCTTATTTACACCTTAAGAAAATCTGAAGAACTGAAAACTGGCTGGCAGTCATAAGGTCCCATGAAATCAGCAGGGTATAAAAGCTGGTTTGTAGAGCTTTTGCTATTTGTCTGCATGGTGTTGTCATGGTGTAAGAAACAGAGCAAACAAGGAGAGCTTTGAATATATATTTTTATGGTTTGTCCAYTGCAGAACTGCATGTTTTAAATAAACTGTAAATACACTCATATCTTTACAATGTTTATTTACTGTTAATAAAAAATGTAAATGCCACCCSCTCCCCAATAAATAAATAAATCTTGGTATCTTGTTAGGATTAAGATGAAAGCAAACTGTTCATAATAAAGATACATGTCAACYTMTTCGGACGTTTACCTGTATAAAAGTGCCTCAAAAATCCRTAARTTTTGCAAAAAATCCGTACAACTCGCMCCCGCGGGGGGTGTCTGTCGGCTGCAGACATGAAARCGCCCGCAGCGAAGCAGGAGGAAAGTAGAGCGGAAAAAGTTCAAAACTTATTTCTAGCGGCAGGACAGGTTGGAAGATGGATGTTTGATGTTATTTATTGCTTTTTAAATCATCCTACAGGCTCTAACATGTTAGGTAAATTTGAAAATGAGGTTTTGAAAAAAATCCTTAAGACTTGAAAAAATCCGTGAGATTGCCCTATATGTCCGTATACCTGCAAAATGACGTAAAATCCTTATAACTTACGGACAGTCCGTACAAGTTGGCATGTATGTATTTTGGTTTGGAACTGGAGCAGCAGGTGCAGCAAGAAGTGACACCAAAGGTGAAGTCTCTGACTCATTTGATTCTCTCTTTAAGAATGACACAAAATAATCCAAGGAAACTTCACATTCTTTGCTACTTGTCTGTGTTGTTGGCCGTTGTAGCAATGCTCTGTTTACATGCAGGCACATTCCTCTTTGTCATCGCTTCGCTTGTGAATATCTCAACATATYATTTACCTTTAYTGAACCAGGCAAATCAAACTGAGATCACAGATCTYGTTTGCAAGGGAGGTCAGCACGAGGAGAACATGCAAACTCTAGAGGAAGAACTCAGGTCCAAACCGAAGACTGAACCCAGAACATTATTGCTGCAARGCAACAGTGCTAACCACTAAGCTGTCATTTTACCAATGCTTTTGTAWTTATCATGACAATTGATGTCATAGACACTTTAAAGACGAATTTATTTCAAAACCAGCGTAAGAGTTGAGGTATTGTAAATTGATTTGAAGCTAATGGAATAAAAATGTCCAAGGACCTGAGACTTTGAAGCTTGTTTGAGATAAATCAGCTTTAAATTATTAACGGTCTTGCATGCATTAAGCTGGCGCTCCCATGTCTCTGTTGAAAAGGTTCAGGCATCATAAACCTGCTCAATGTCACATTTTGTAATAAAAACCTCAAATAATGCTATTTGTGACCTCGGCAACCCACTTACACTGAATGAACCTCCACAGCCCTCGTCTCACCTCTGTACGTAGTTGTGTTTGAGGCATTCTCTCAGGCCCGTATCCACAGCGATGTGGGCGGAGCTCCAGTCAGGGTGGCTGCGGATGCAGTCCACGATTGTCTGCACCGTCTCAGCCTTCAGGGGAAGRATCTCATAGAAGGGTTGAAGTTTGAGAGCATACTGTGGGAACCAGTTCATGGCCTCCTCCTCTGAGGTGACCTGAAACAGCCTGCAGACACAGCAGCAGTAATGTGTTAAAAATGTTGAGAGAGGAATCTAAACTTGTTCAGCTGGAAAACAGAACTGAAAACGCTTCCTGGCCAGTTTTTATTGTTTCTGTCTGAAACACTAATTAAATCAAGATTGCAGGCTTCAGATTAAGCAGCTTTAAAGGACAGCTGTAAACAGTGACCTAAAGAAAACCTGTGAGATGAATGCAGCACGTCTACATCTGGACCTCCAACCCTACGCTGTRTTAAATCTGCCCCAATAAGAAGATCCACACTGACCTCAGAGCTGTCGCTGGTGTCTCGGGACACATGAGCAAACAGTCCAACGACTGAGTCTGGAGGTTTTTGTACAGGACCATCCGCCCTTCCTGTTTCTGCAAAACCTTCTCTCGTCCTCCATAATCGGTCAGCGGCACATCTCTGACCCGGTATGGGTTTGTGAAGAGGGTCGACACAGAGGAGACTGTGTCCAAAAGCCGGCCCAGGAACTGCATTGTTATCTGAGAACACAGAAATTTGAAATAAATAAATAAATAAATAAATCTGCATTACATTGTTTATATGAGCATTCTGCACATTATGCTGAAACTATGCTCTAACACATCCTGTTGGGCTGTTGTCAACCTTAATGAATTATTTATTTTAGGGCCAGTGCAGGATGTCACTGTAAGGAGCAACAAGTGAAACACAGATATTTAAATGTAAAGCCCCGTTTATTATTAGGGTTCAGTATGATCTGCACTTTAAACCACAATAAATTATCAAAGTCGTACAAGTAGTTCAACAAAAAGGAGTACTATTTATCAACCACCATGTCAACAAATCAAGTATCTTTCTCTTTCTATTTGAAGCGTGTTCTCGGTTAAATTATAAACAAAACGCTAGAGCCCAGATGACATGACGACACAGACGCTAAGAAGCCGGGGCTAAACACATTAGCATAAACACTGTTCTTTACTTAAAATTCCCTAAAACCATTCCGAGAAAATTACATATTATAGATAGTGTTCTGCCATCTGCGACTAATGGCATTAATTGGGTATAAAACCATTGAGCTTACATGTTAGCTGCTCTGCGCTCCGTGCCTGACTTCTGACAGCCACAAGTCAAGAGCCACCGCCTCAACCGAACCTGCTACAAACAAAGCTAGATTGACGTGAGCTCGTCAAATCAGAGTGCAGAATCAGAGTCAGAGGGCGGGGCGTAGGAAAGAAGACCTCTTGGATAAAGGCTTAAAGGTACATCAGGAAAATATATATTTTCTACTTACTTCTGAAGCACAAATCTAACCAGACAGACAGTGATTGAAAGTAAAGTTAACTACCTGAGTCTTGCGCCATTTTGTGTTTCAGCTGCATCATTTTCTGTTTGACCGGCTTGTTTTGGCCATAAAATAAATTTGTCTTTGATTAAATCCTTGAGAGTTTTTCTTTTCTTTTCTTCTTCTTTTTTTACAAACTCAAGATTATAACAGGTAATAAACCCCGTTATTTTATTGTCAGTGATATATCTTTTATTTAATAATTTATTTGGAAAGGAGCAGGGGCGGATCTACAAGGGGTAAGGGGGGCAACTGCCCCCCTGTTGTAGAGCCTCCCCCCAGCAGCCCCCCTACTTTTACGTTTCTAAAATATTTGTAATTACTAACTTTTTGTCAGTCCAAAAGCCCATTAATTTCCTGTAACGCTGAGAATGTCTGCTCAGCATTTAGCTTGTAAGACGCTACAGAAATCTAGTTTCCCAGTTCTGACTCCTGCTCTCTGATCAGCCAATCAAAYGATGTGAAAATGTTGACGCTGTCCGAGCCCAGCTAGCAGGCTCTGGTGTCTTCACCTCAGCACCTGATTGGTCAAAGTAACAGTCTCACTGCCATGTGTTTCACCATCTCTGAGCCTTTCTCTGCTCATTTTGAAGGCCCGAGGCAGATTTGTGCACCCAACAGATGATGATCGAAAAATGATTGGATAAAACCTCTAAATAAATTGCTGGAAGCTGTGCAGCCAGGGGAACAACTGTGAAACAAAAGTCCAAATAAATTATTAAATTAAATTAACCAAACTGTTTTGCCCACCGGTGGAACAAAGACTGTTAAGGGGTTTAGAAACACTTGAGCCAACCTGTTGGACGATACTTTATAACAATGATTTTGTATCATGTAAAAACATAATGTGCCAACAAAGAATTTTAAATAGGTGCTGCTTTACGAGACAGCATCTCATTATCTTCTTTTCATGATTCACAGTCTTGGTCCCCAAGGACACATCCTTCATGTTTTAGTTGTTTCCTTGCTTTGGCACACCTGATTTAAATTTGATTTTGATTGAGTGATTGGCAGGCTTATGCACTCAAAGACTTGAAATTTGAAAAACATGGGAAACAACTAAAACATGCAGGACAGGGGTCTTTGATGTTTGATGTGTGTTATGTATTTTGAGTATGTATTACTTTATTACAACCCTTTACTTTTCTTTAGTCATGATGACCTTTTCAGAACTGTATATGTTTTACTTTAAGAGTTCTTTTTTTTTTTTTACAAAGGCATAACTTCATTCTTGATTTTCTGGTTTGAACAATGGCAACACAGGATTTGGGTTAAGCTGCRCAGAGAGTGGTGTGGGTGTTTTATCAATGAGTTTCTCACATAGACTAATGATGTATACACCTCCTTTCCAGTGGAGGATCTAGAAAATTTTCCATGGGGGGTGTGGCAAAGGTGGGGCAAAAGCTCTAGGCAGGGTGGCAATGCTGGATCACTTCACTTAAGTACTGTACATGAGAAATGTCTTGAACTTGAACTACGGCCTTTGTGAATCGAGGATTAAAAGCTGCAATTTTACCACTCACTTAGCCAGGGCGCGACCTGATGAGCCCAGGGAGCTGCCGTTCCTGTAAAAAGGAGACAAACCACCCCAGGTCCGGACGCTTCGACCCCACACTCTCCTCTGGAGCTAAATGATGGAGGCAGGAAGGGGGGCAACACCAAGACCTTTAAGTTACCTCAGCTCATGCGTTGTGGTGTACACCTTTAAAAACCCAGCAGAATAAAAATACAGAAGACTTACCRAGACTCAAAGATCACCCAGAAGCCGTGCGTCAATTTTGTGCTCTTCGGCAAAAACTTTATTTCAAGCGACGAATAATAAAAACAGTGACTTTTATAGGTTCACATCCTTTTRCYTATGTTCTAAAAATCAAAGACAAAAAATGTAAACAAAATGTGTTCAAAGGATAAAAGTCCACAAGGAGGTTTCACAGGAAGAAACCAAAAGCCCCCAAAAAATGAGCTTTCGTGGGTGTGCCTGTGATTTTTATAGACTCCTGCAATTATGCATATTCATTTTGAGCATACATTCATTCTCCTCCTCTTTTCTTTGTTTGAGGAGAGGATAGGTTACAACAAGTTACAGCTTGTTTTCTTTTMGCGGTCTTGTCTCATTGGGTGAAGGTGACAGTTCTGTGAGTAATAGCGTCTGTGGATCCAGTAAGGCCAGAGGTGGTGTAATAAGAGGGACTTGTGTTTACATTCCAGCTCGCAGCMGGTTGACCTTTAACCCTGTCTGCTGGAACTATCCAACCTGTGGGATAGCAKTTTATATCCACGCTCCCCTGACTTCAGCAGGAGGTGGATTCAGTGCCTGGWACCATTCGGCCCTTTGTTCAAACTCTGCTGATCGATCTGATGTTGGTCTCTGTTGATGTAAGTTGTCATTAGCATCGACGACGGCAGGGTGATAAGGAATCAGACCTTGTTGCATAACCACCTCAGGTGACACTTGGATCGCATGTGTGCAATCTTTAAATGATGGTGGGGGGTTTTGGCCCAAGTTTTCATCAACAGCTTCCTTTTCAGTCCTAATAAACAGACCAAACTACAAAAGTAGTAACAAATGCATCAGAATTATGAGAAAAATAAAAGTCAAAGTGAGGGAAGAAAAATAATCTCTGACATTTCTGACATGTTTGGGGCATGGTGGGACAGAGGTTAAAGAAGGTGAGCCTGTGAACACCAATCTCTTGATTAATAACAAAACAACAAGAGTGTGCAACCCTCATTTTCCAATCCAGAGAAAAGAAAAGTCAGAATTCTGAGAAAAAAAGAACTGGATTTTTTATGGAGGAGCAAGCAGCATGACARAAATGTGCAAATGTACATGTAAGCAAAACGTCCACAGTATTGTAAGTGAAGCGTAAATAACAGCTGTGCGAAATATCCATAATAATATCTCTAAATTATGACTATAATTATGAAATGCTAAGTCATAATTTAAGAGCAGTATTTTATAATTATGACTTAGATAATTGTGTTTATCAAAGGGAAAAAAACTGGACTTGGAGAAACTGCCCTGCCTATGAAAATGTAGTTTGAGTACCAAGTAGGCAACTAAATGACTGCTGAAATTTGCTGAATAACTTAAACTGCACTGAGAGAGAAGCAGAAAGCAAAATTCCAGTTAAAATAGTAAAACATTAACTGAAAGAAGCCAAAACTATCCAAAAGTTAAAAGTAGCAAGACTAGAAATTAAACTCTACAACAAATCTGTAAATCTGGTTTTTAATACTAGTTTTGTTGCACAATTTCAATCTAGCTGTCAATCAATTTATGGCACTTTTTATCGTTGTAGTAATAAACTCTGGCAAATAGCAGCAAAAAKTTAGTAAAACTAAAATAGGTTTAAGACAGAAAAAAAAGAAGTATGTGAAAACAGTTTTCAAAGAGAACAATCTTTTAGAAGGAACTATTGGGGAATATTTATAAAGAAAGGTTAAAATAACAAAAGCTGAACATGTGTGAATGAATACAATAGCATTCCTATTAAGTAGTCAGAGACAGTGTTGTATAAAGTACCTGAAAGTGATACTTGAGTAAAAGTACAAGTATCTTATCATAAAAATACTTTGGTAAAAGTTAAAGTTTTCTCTAAGAATATATCTTGAGTAAAAGTCTTAAAGTATCTGATATTTTTTGTATTTAAGTATCAAAAGTAAATTTCTGACACAAAATCTACTTATGTATTAAAAGTAAAAGTATTGAGTAAAAGTGAGCAGTTAGATTTTCCTAAATGACATTTATTGGAAGGTGACTTCTCCAAAAAACATTTTTTTCTAACGGCGTGCAGCTGTGATGGGTTGTGTACAAGCTATTATGGTGTCAGAATGGTATATTTTTAAACTTATCATCTAACCACAATTAAACTCACTTGATCCAGGAGACACAATTTATCAGGATTGTATTTTTTTTAATAATAACTCAGAATAAATTAGGAGTAACGACTTTCTACTTCTTACCTTTTTTTAAAAAAATGTAAGGAGTAGAAAGTACAGATAATTGTGTAAATGGACTATACTTTATTAGCACCTTTCCAGGACACTCAAAGCGCTTCACACTGCAGACATTCACCCGTGCACACACACACACACACTGCATCTGCATCTACATCTGCAGCTTTGTTCACTAAAATGACACCAGTGATGTATTAAAATACACATACAGTAGGCACACTTCATGATATTGTGGACCATTAGGGAATACATTAAGCAAGTACTTTTACTTTTAATACTTTGAGTATTTTTAAAAGCAAGTACTTTCTTACTTTTACTTAAGTAAAATGTTAATGTGGTACTTTTACTTTTACTAGAGTACATGTCTGTTTATCTGTACTTTTACTTATGTACAGTGTTTAAGTACTTTCTCCACCACTGGTAAAGTAAAAGTAAAAAAGTACACTGAAAAATAATTACTCAAGTAAAGTACAGAGAACCAAAATTTCTACTTAAGTACAGTAACAAAGTAGCTGTTTGCACTTAATTACTTTACAACTCTGGTCAGAGAACAGTAAATAAATAAATAAATAAATAAATAAATAAATAAATAAATAAATAA